ATTAGGGACGGCTAGCGCAGATAGCCCTCGTGTAGCTTTGCGCGAAATTCCAAAACAAACAAACTAATATCTGGATATATAAGTAAATTAGTTATAAATATGAGTAAGCAGTTAGTTAATGAAATATTCATTTGGAAGCTATTAAGTTGTGATAGAGGATTCAATGAAGTATTCAATGTGTGAAAGATTGAATAATGTTAATCAATAAGCTAGATTTGTTATCAATCGAATAAATTTCGATTTCTTAATACTGTTTAGTTTATGTATTATTGATTCATTTATTTTTGTGGGTGAATATTTTATTATTGTATAGTTTTTGTTGTAATAAGAGTTAAAAGCAGACGATTTTAGGAAGTTTGTTTATAAGTCATTGATCTTGAGACTATCGAACGTCGCGTACAATACATTGACGCCGAGACGAGCGGAAACAGCAGACAGACAACAGCAGAAGAGAGTAAAGTTATGGGCAAGGAAATGTTCGGTGTGAAGTTGACTACCGAAGAAGTGATAAGCCTCACGTTTAACATGTTAGAGTAGGACTAACAGTAGAAAATGAGATAAGAAAAATAATTGATTTCGTCAAAGTGTGGTTCTAAATCAATTGAATCAGACAGAGTGCACTTTGACAAAAGGAACAGAGGATATTTAGAAGAAAAAAGACCAAACGATTACGGTAATTTGTGCTACAATTGTAAGTGAATCACACACAGAATACTAGTGCGATAGTAATAGAGAACTGATTAGATAGTTCGGCTTGTCAACTGAAATTCTAAAGGAATTGAATAGGCCTAAGTGGACTTTTGACAAGAAACTATAGGTTTTATGATATACCTATAATCTCTATAGTATGAAGAATTTGTTGTACATACGTTTAACTTGTTCCGAATATATAAACCTAATTAAAGCATGGAACATATAGTTTACACCAATCCCTTAAAAGTAAAGGAAACCTTCATGCGTTTACAAGACTTATTTTGGGTTTTGTAAATTACTGAATATATATATATATATATTATTCTATTTTAGACCATTCGAGAATTCTTGTAAAGTATGGTGAAACTTTGTTATTTATAAGTATAACCCCAAATTAAGGTCATTAGGAGCCATAAAACTGTATTATTTTTTTAAATACAAGTAAAGAGCGTGCTGTTCATTTATCGTTAATAACAAGTCACAGACACCTATTGAGAACTAGAAGAATCCTAAGCCCAACAGCACAGTATATGTTTATACTATTAAGAAGTATAAGTAAAAGCCTTTTATTTTGACAATTGGCAAAAATAATTATATTTTAAATTTTGACAACGTTATTAGAGTATTACTGTTAGGCCTACAGTAATTTCAGGATTCTTCTTGTAAATGTTTTTTGTGTAAACTTAAGCCCTAAACTTGTGTCAAAGTGAGATAACATGTAACAAACATTATTAAAGAAATAAACTAGTTTTCTATCATTATGTGGATTGACTTTGTTACGTCTCCGTTCGTTAATTGACTTTAACTTCGTTCCGACGAAACTTTAGCGACACAAGTCCTTACTTAATAAAACTGGTTTATTCTTT